ACCAGCCTCACTTGCTGTTGCTGCAGAAATAGAATGCTTGAAATAGGGCCAGGTAGAGGCTGAATTCAGTATAAGGCAGAGTTGTACAAGAAACCAGTCTCTGAGATTCAGTGGTTGGGTGGAAAAGGGGGAAATCTCCTTTTTCTGTCTCCAAAATCTGATTTCATGCTAATCCAGCTATTGCTTCCTGTTTAGTTTGGAATGACACAGGAACTTTTTATAATTTTTTTTGTACTAAATAATATTTTGTACCAAAGGTGGTTGCAATGCTACAGGAAGAGGGTCACTTATCCTAAAAATTTCCCTCCCCAGGTATTCCCCAACAGATGGGAATATATTGGACAGAGATATTCTATTATTTTTCATATACATGAAGAGCTAATGAGCATTCTCATGACGTTTAAATGTTCTAGAATCCATTATTTTTTCCTGAACGTGACCAGAACCTGTAACTCTAATTTTGATATAGATATTTCAATTATTATTTGTAGTTTTAATAGTTTTGCATTTGTAATTTGGTAGTTTTGGATGACCCTGATTTTTGTTTTCGATTAGGGTTACTTGAGACTTCTGGTCTCGGAGTTTTGGTGTGATCCTGTGGGATACGGATCAATTAAAGATCTAATAAATCAAAGTGCATATGGATATTCCAGCAACCTTTCATCTAAATACTGCAAAGTGCAACAGCAATTGATCTTTAAGTGTATGTGGAAAAAAAGAAAAGCAGCTTCTGTTTGTAAAGCAAGGGTATTTTTCACTAAACTAAATTTGCTCTTTTAGGTTTTGGTTTTCAAAGAGAGCTTGGCAAAGGATGGAGAAAGGCTCCATGAGCGAGCATCCATACTAGTAAAAAAAAAATGGTTAGGAGTCTTCAAGGAATAAATTACATTTATGTACTTGGGTGCTGAAATACGGACCAAATGTGAATCTTTGAGAAAGAGATCCACTATTAAAATAGCAGTAAAGCAGCACCATGTGGATCCAAAACCTTGATGTGACTTTTATCTATTTTTAAAAGAATGTTAGAGGAGGAGGGAGGGTAGCAAGAGTGTGGTAGACCAGCAGAACTGCTTTTCCTGTTTTGGCTTTTTTATTTATTTATTTATTTTAATTTTGAAAAAAATGCAGCTCTATCTCTCTTTACACCCATAAGGTTGGTGTCTTCAGTTTCACTTCCATAGCATGATTGACTATTTAGTATAAAACTGTCTTTCTGCATGTTTCCTTTCATGATTTCATTGTACTCAGGATCTGATGTGATCTGTAGTCCTGAAATGGTGCACGGATCTTGGGTGCCAAAACACTGGCATGTATTTTGGACCTCAAGTAGTGCTTTTTCACAGAATATTATAAGTTGGAAGGGACCCATAAGGATCCTCAAGTCCAATTCCTAAGTGAACGGCCCATATATGAAACTGTATTTTCCAGGTATTTTCACAAAAGGTACAGAACAACAACAATTAGAGCAACAAGAAATCCAAGGGAGATAAAAAGAAAGGGGGGGGAAGAAAAATGGGTGAGTTTTATCTAGCAGAGGAAATTCTACTGATTTACTTCTGTTTTTTTTTTTCTGATTCCACTCAGATTTACATTCTCTTGAAATAATAACACGCTTAAGTATTGAGATATGTTTTGAATTTTGAGATTATTTAAATAGCCTGTCATGATGACTGACTAGTCTAGTGCTCGCAAACAGAATGGTAAGTAAGAGGAAATGCAGTGAAAGTTGCATGTTTTTATCTATATTCTTACTTGAAATTAGGACAGTTGTCAGAAAAGCTTTGGCTTAGTTTTGGAACTAATCAGAAAAAAACTATTATTTCTAACAGTCATATCTATCCTTTGTATTACACAGGATGAAAGAGAAGCTTAAATGTCAGTTTAGAGAAAATTGGAATAAAATATAGACAGTTCCTGCTCGTGGCAGTGGGGTTGAAATTAAATGTTTTTTAAGGTCCCTTCCAACCCAAACCATTTTATGATTCTCTGATTTTATGATGATCTAGTGCAGTTTAGCCTTGGTTTCTACTGAAACTGTCACATACTTAGACAAGCATTAATATTAGCAAAATTTTAAAGTCCTACAGAATTTCAATGGTTGATCAAATTCTGTGTGACTGAAACTACACTGTGGACACAGAAAGCTTTTGCTGTGGACGGTTTCAGGTTCTTAAACAAAAATCAGTTTTTTCCTTTGGGGGTGTGGTGTGGAAAGAAGAAAGTCTGTTATCAAAGAAATCAGCTGTTGATAAGCTTTGAAGCAATGTGTGTGGTTTCCCATCTGCCTATTTATTTGCATTTTACTTTGTTAAGTACACTGTTAGGATATAAGGTGTCTTATTTTTTTTTTCCCCTCTCACTCACACCAGCAGAGGCTTCTTGATCTTATTTTTATGCAGCTTTTGATGGGACTTTTTGCAAGTACTAAACATAGTATTTCTTCTGATCTAAAAATTGTACTTAAACATTAACAGATGAAAGTATTGACATGCCCCTATCCAATAACTTAAGCCAGTGATGGACAAAATGATCACTTGCTTGGTCTAGGCAGAGAGAAGAAACCCATCATATATATATCATTTATATATATCATATACCTGTGTGGTGGTTTGGTCTAGGCCTTCCTTGGTGTCCTAGTTAGGACAACTGAGACCAGTTCATCATGGCATGGGTGTAACCCAAAACTGTGTATTCTATAGCCTTCCATGCCATTGCCCAGAAACTGTTATCAATGAACCATTTACACCCTCTGCCCATAGAGCCTGACTCCTCAGGCTATAAACTAGGTGTTAAGAGGCCTGTGAGATAGGAGGATGCTCCTGTCCTCACACCCTTTGTGGAACTCCCCGCCCTGAGGGAAGTGCTGAGCATTCCTGCCTGAACTGCAGGATATATAATCTTGGAGTCTTGGAACATTTTTAACCACTCTGTGGGATCCAGAGAAGGACTGTGGCTCATCGCTCTCAACCAGACTTAGACCATCACTGGACTGCAATCACCACTTTTGACCAGACTGCAGCAGCTCTCCCACCAGCAGGTTCTTCCCCTCTCCCTTTACTTTGGACTCAAGCGGGGCCCAAGGAACACCACGTTGTTCATGCCCCAGGGTACTGGGTTATACATTTGGGTTTTGTGGGTTAAGACCAATTGTTTGTTTGTATGATTGTACTTACTGTATTATTGTAGTAAATTGTTATTCTGACTTACAATCTCTCCTTTGAGTTGAGTTCATTTCCCCTGCTGGTTAACTCTAAACCAGCACACTTGGTGACCAGTTTGTAACCAAGGAAGGGCCCAGATTTGCCCAGTATTCCCTACAATTTTTACATAAGCCAGACTATAAGAAGAAAGGAGGAAAGGCCTTCGCTCTCTTCCCTTCCAGCGGCTTTGGAGGTGCAGGTTCCCTGCTGTCGGGTCTGTCATGTTGGGGAGCGAGGCCTGGTGAGGCCTTGTCCACCCTGGGAGGCGGAGGGTGCCTGCGATCGGTCCAGAGCGACTCTCGGTTGTCCCAAGGAGAGTAGTGAGATATTTCTTTGCTAACTCTTTTAGTTGTTAGATAGTGGGCTACTAATCGGGATATATATATATTCTATTTTGGTTTTGTTCCTTTTCCCTTCCCCCTTCCCGTTCCCTTGTGAAATTGTATATATATTTCAATTGTTTATACCTGTAACAAAGTGTAAATATATATATATATAGCTTTACCTGTCTCTGTCTTGTTTCGGTTTTTCTTGGTTGTTTTTTCCCTCTTCTCCCTGAGGTTTGGGGGGGGACGACTTCTTGTGGTAAGGTTTGGAGACTTGGCAGGGAGCCAGCTTCAGACCATATCACCCTGCCTTGCAAATATGCATGGAAATTGCCAGCCCATGCAAAAAATGACTTATTGCCACCCCATCATTCTAATTGAAGAACCAGTAATATTTTACTCGTTTCAGTCCCTTCTTGGATGAATTGATGAATGTATTATTTCATGTACTGCAGTCTGTCAATTTGCCCTATGGGTTTCTGTCATCAAAGGAAGAAAAAGGGGTTAAGGTTTTTCTTTTAGTCACAGGAGCCTCCAGAGGGTGATCTATGCTTTAATTTTCACCCTGGCATGACTACAATGGATATCAATCCTGTAGTCTGCAATTTCTGTGCATATGAGTATTGTTAAAATAATAATAATAATAAAAAAAAATAAAAAATTTGTAACTTCCTCAGTAATTGTCCCAAACACTATTGCTTACAGTTGTGATGTCTTGTATTAGGGAAATAAAAGAGAATATTTAAATGGCAGTTCTCTTCATGAAAACAGTGGTAATGAGAACAAGTGAACGAATCCCCCACATACATGTGTTAGAGGTATGAATGTATTAAAGTTTGTGAAAAAAGCATTGCAGCCTTTTAAACTGGTAAAAGCCTCTCTCTCTCTGTCTGCCTGCTTATCTATGCATTGGTGGCCTTCACTACTCTTTAATCTGAGTATCTTTGCAGCCTGGCTATAAACTGGGGTCAAGTGATCAAAGGCACAAAATGAAACCTGAGGATTTTATTCTCTGTTTTTTTTCTAAGCTGCCTGTTGTTCAGGATTATCCTTTGCACCCTCTAGATATCCTAAAGCTCTGAAAGACAGTTATGACTAATATTGTATCATATACTACTCATAATCACTTTTTCTGTTCCTATTTTTAATATGACAAGGGGACATCAATATGCAGGATCCAGCCGAAAAGTAGATAGGGGCAAAGTCTATGCTGGATCTGTCAAGAGGGTACAGCTGCCTGGTATCAGCAAGCTGAGAACTGTCTAGAATATCTGATTCTTCCAACTTTTCCAGACACCTCTGTGTGTCAGAAACAGAGCTGGTATGACATGATTATTTAAACTAATGAAAAAAAAGAGAAGATTTTCTTTCCTCTCAAGAAAACTGTTTTCAGTCAAAATTTGTCACGTTCAAAATTTTATTTTTTGACCTGCCATAATCAGAGCCTTCTTTGCATCCAGCAGATGTTAAGTGCTCCTAAATTCCACCGCCCTCAGCAGGGGTTGAGGGGTTTTAGCATTTGGCACAGGATAAAGCACTAATAAAGCATAAAAAAAAAAGTAGGCACTAATAGGATATATTTGCAGCAGAACAAAGCAACTGCATCTCTCATTGACTTTGCTTGGAGCTGAGAGTGCTCTGAGCCCCTAAAAAATATGACTGTCTCGATGATGCTTCATAGTAGCAGCTGGAGATTGGGACCTGAAGAATCAAGAACACAAAGAAAAAGCTACTTTAAAAAATGTTTCGCTCAGAAACTTACCTTAAAGTGGCTTCATTTAGGTGGGAAACTATTGAAACTTAGTAAGAGCCTGAATCAAATGTAGTTTTAAGGAGCTTAATCTAACTCTACAACACATATGATATCACATAGTATTTAATTTCCTGCTCTTTTTTTTTCCATTGGAAACTTTACCTAGTGACTGCACAGAACGTTCCTGCAATTAACAGGTATTGAGCATGCCACCTCATCAATGTTTGCCCTATTTTATAACCCTGTAACGTTTTAAATTTCTTTGGGTTCTTTCCTTTCAAGCTCAATATTATACCAGCCAAACAGCATTAAATGTAAGGTCAACTATGTTGTGGTTAAGTGCATGTTTTTTCCACTGACACTGATAACCACCTCTGCTGGTTTTTCGTGTCACTGGATCTATCCCACTGGAGTGCAGCTTTGGAGCTGATAGAACAGCAGTTGTCAGTCTGTCAATGTTTTTTTTTTTTTTGTATTTGATGATGATAGAATTATAAAAAAATTAAAAAAAATCCACTTCAATTCATGTATCTGATCTAATGTGCTGTCCTAAACACACACTACTGTTGTTTTGTCTTCCCCTGTTCCAATCATCTTCCTTCCCAAACATTTTTCTTCTCTGAGTCATGTTGCCCTTGTCTTCTCTCCCAGTTTCTACTCTTCAGGACAAACCTTCACTGCAGCTGTACCTGTCTTATCTGCTGCAAAAGGTGCAGTTCTCTCTCACTCTGTAGGTTCTCTTTCTTCCTGTTTTCACTCTTGTATCCTTGTATCCTTTATCTGCACCTGCTCTTTTTTCTTATACTGCTTGTTCACCCAAACAGACTTCCTACTGCTGGCTTTTTATTCTACCTTTCTTCCACTGTCAGCCAATTAATTGTCATGATTGGTCTACTTCTCTTTCTGCTTCAGGCTTACCAGACACTTTTCCAAACTCAACCCTTCTGTCTTAGCAAAGGAAGAGAGATCTTCTAGACTAGGTCTTCTGAGAGAGTTATAAAGGGAATTCTCATCTGGATTTGCACTAAACCATATTCAGTTGTCCAGTTGTGCTGTGAACAGAACCCTAGTGACTGTAAGAAATCAAAAGAAAGCAGAGGTGGAAAGATAGAAATTGAAGAATTTCAGTACTGAATATGATGAAAAGGTATTTTTCCTAAGGATGATTAAAAGCACAATTCCTTCCACTAAGTCCAACACACTGCCAAGCTCTGTGTCCATCCTTCAAAGTACTGGGGTGATTGAGAAAAGAGCCACCATGATTTTTAACATGAGTATAGTACTTATTTACAGAAATAAAATTGTTTTTTCTCAATTTGTCTAGAAGAAAAGATAAAAAATTGAGCTGCCGCTCAACACATCAGTTCAATTCATTTCAATTTGGCAAGGACAAGCTGTTATAAGCAACTAAATACAGATTTTTATTATGGAGACTGGGATAATCTTTCTTCCAGATTGTAATAATGGTTTTTACCTGCTGGTTTCTCCACACTCTGCTTTTTGCTTGCTGCCTTTAGAGGCCAGGACACCCTCCTCATTTTGCTGCAATTCCAGCTGAAAATACAGACCATCGCTGGAAGATTAAAGGGACATGACTCCAGAAATCAGATAAATCAAGGCCATACAGAAAGCATATTTCTTCACCATTAAAATGTTTTTGGAAAAGTGAGTGAGTTTAACCATGCTGCTCAAACTGCTACTTTCGACTCCAATCCTTTAATTTCTGTTAAAATTCATTGTTCTCATATCTCAGAACCATGCCAGCTTTCATCAGTGCATCTTCCTGAAGGTCAAAGCTTAAAACAGCCGTCAAGCCTCTCTAGCCTGGTAATCATTTTCTGCCTCGAGGTGGTTCCTTCTGCAATCAATGCCACGAAATGTACAGTTTAAATGTTTGACATTGGCTGGTTTTGTCCTTCGTGTTACCTAAGGTGCTGGTTATATCATATTGTTCATTTTTATACAGGAAGTCTTTGGTTTTGCAGCATATTAAATTGAACTGAAACACATGCAGAAATTGCAGACACCTCTTTTTTGAAGAAACAGCCAACTAATTAAAGTGTATTACATAAAATAGATTTTGAATTTTTTTCCTGGCAAAAAATTTTTCTAAAACAAATATTTCTAAAACAAAATATTTTTCTAAAACAAATATTTTTTAATCCATATTAGAGTAAACATCTTCTCCTTAAAACACTGGAAGTGCCACCAGAACTTTCATGTCACAGCAAAAGGACAGACTAGGAACTTTTAAACATGATTTTAAGGGGATCAGTATAATCTCTTTAGCAGATAAGTATTGTACAGCTGAAGAGAAAAATACCCCCACAAATAAGGACTTAATTTTATCTTTATATGGTGCTTTTTTACCCATTTATTTTTCTGGTTTGCATTAACCAGTAGTAGTAGTAGCAACAGCTGCTATATTGGAAGAGCTGTGCTACTGTCTACTAGCTTAACAGACATTTTTTGCATATTGGCATACCTGGGTTCAAGTACAGCAGAGTTAGTTTTCCTAGTCTTTAAAAGAAGGGGAGAAGAAGGGGAAAGAGAAGGGGAAAAACATAAACTAATTAAGAAACAGATTTGGAAAAAAAAGATTTAGATATTTAAATATCCTATCAGGAAACAAAATTAAGTGCCTTTTCTGAAACCCTGGTCAGCTGCCTAATCCTACGTAGCACAGTGATCCCTTTGTCGTGGGTGGGAGTGGTGGCTTTTGGACAAAGTTTATCAAAAAAGCCCTGCTGTTGAGGGCTTCCTGCAGGAAGGATCCCCTTGCATTCTAAATTCCTTCTCAGAGAGGAGCCTGGGTGAGGCTGGATCCAGTCATAGCCTCAGATTTTGTCAATGGTTTAAATTTAAGAAATTATAGAGGTGTGATTGAACTACTTTGTCCCACAGGTTTTAATGATGGCACAATGAAAATATTTATACAAAGTGAATAATTTGTTGTTACCTATGACCAGACAAAAGATCTTAATAAGAATTGTTTACTACACCATATAAAACCTAAAACCACCAGTAGTACAATATAAGATAGGGTAGTGCACTACATTAAAGCAATTATTGAAACAATTATATTAATAATTATTTTAATTGATAATCTCCCCAGTGCTCATGGGGAGATCTCTTTCTCTCAGCTTCCAGAAGTACCCTTGAGGCTTATCCCCACCCAAGGGATGTCCCTTGTCCCCACCCAAGGGAGGAATCCCAAGAAGGGTTGTTAGAAGAACCTGAACCTATGAAAGTGGACTGGACCTTTGTAGTTAAAAGTGAGTGATGACTCCAGTGGTGGCCTCACCTTCAGGATGTTAATTCAGGGTTGAAGCCAGACTAGTTTCAACATCTCCTGGCCTGGCCTGGAGGCCCTCTCAGCCCACCACTAACAACTTTTTGAATAGGGCATTGTCTTCCAGGAGAGGATGTCCTGCCACACCCTTAGGTTACCTGTTTGTTACCTGTCTTGGAAGCTCAGAAACATGAGCAGCAATGTCCTGAAGAGGGAATTTGGTCCCTCTCTGTTGCTCAGGTTGTGTTTCTGTCCAAAAGACCCGGGCCATTCTGCACTCAGCCAGGACTGGAGGCCCAAACAAGGCTGCCTTACAGCAAGGAAACATGGAGCTGCCAAAGTGCAAAGGCAGCTTGCAGGGACCTGTGAGAGCATTAACAGGTTCACAGCCTGCCTGTTCCCACTTGAGGGGAAGGTTGGTGGCATCAGATAAGACTGGAGAAGCAATAAATTAACCTACATGGAACAAATAAACTTCCATGAGTCCAGGTAATGGCAGTGGTTGCAAGGAATCTCAGGCTTATTGCTTTCTACTCTCTCTCAAAATTGGGTTTTAGGAAAGGGGCCTTGGTGAAGGTTGCACTAGCAAATTTAGCTAGATATGCCTTTGCACCTCCTCTGCTTAGCACTTATCTTGCTTCCCTCGTGCTGCAGTTAATGACATCTGAGGTCCCAGTTAGCTTAAATTTGTGATATTGTGTGTCTGTATCTCTGCTAAGTATAATTAACTGAATCAAGTATTTCACTCCTTCACAAAGAGTAAGATGCAGAGAAGAAGAAAGAAATAAGAAATAAATAAGAAATAAGAAATAAGGAAGAAGAAAGAAGAAAGAAGAAAGAAAGAGGAAGGAGAAGGAAAAGAGAAGAAAACGGATGTTTTCCAGACAGTCATATGAAACTTGTTAAGTGTCATGAAATTTTAAGTTCATGACTAAATCATGACTATGAGTTGGTAATCTGAGCTTGAGTCAAGGTTTTAATTTTCAAAAGTCCTTTGTCAGAACGCTTGTAACCCAGTGTTTCATAAATCACAGGTGATAAAAACAGACCAAACTCTGCTGTGTTCAGCGAAGGGATAGTTTTGTTTTGCTTGCTTAGCCTAAAGATTGGGAGCCAAAAAAGAGACTCACCAGGCTACACACTTAAGATGTAACAATTTAGCAGAAGGTAAAAGACTGCTCTAGCCTCAAAATTGGCACTATGCCTGGGAACAATATTTTAAACCAAATTCATGGTGATGTCATAGTCTAGTTTCTTGTAATTTTTTGTTTGTTTGTTTGTTTGTTTGTTTTGTGGAAGCACATTAATCTGTGTCAATGCATGTGGTAAGCTTAGTTTACTAACCCACTAGACCTGGACTATCATAAGACAGTATACTAAATTCTCACTTTCCAACTAGCCATAGCTCAAGTTGTTCCTGTGTCTGTGTCAATCAAAAAGTATTTTGCAATTATTTTGAAAGAAGAGGGAACAGACTCTTGTCTTTTTGTGAGAGGTGTGGTTATTTAGGCATCCTTAGCCATTCTTATTATGTAACGTAGCAAGAATAAGAAAAATAAATAACTGTGCTTCACAGTTCTTTTCTCTCAACCTTGAAAAGATACATTTGAAATAGGATTTTATTAAATTTGAGATTTGCCAGTTTTATTAAAAATGACACACTTCTGGTGTATGTTCACATTTTTTCTTCCCCTTGAAAACACGACCCCCAGGGATGATGTGGGTTGTACAGAACAGCAACCCAACCATGCCCTCACGGCCCTGGGCCCTGCAATCAGGACAACTTGTTGTGTCTTTCATTACTCCTTGCTTGCTTTTACATGTGAAATGCATTCTGCTATTGGCCATCTATCTTCTATATTTTCTACTTTCACTTCTTTGGATGGCGAAGTTTTTTTCTTCTTTTTAAATATCACTGAAGAGAAAGACAAAAGGGGTTGATTTACTCTCTGTGGAGTCGAAGAGACACTTCACTTGAACAACCAGTAACCTTTGGTCTAGAATCCCTTTTGGCAATTTTCATTTTTCTTTCTATGGTATTAATCATGCTGTAGGCTCAGACTGATCCCAACCAAAACTAAACTATCACTATTAGCTGAGCAGAGACCAGTATAAAGGTTTTCCATTCATTTATTTTCTTTATATTAAAGAAGTTTAGGATCTCTGTTATTCTATTTTTTAAAGCTATTCTGGAATCTCATTGCTCTGATAGTCAGAAAACTTTTCCTAATCCTAATCCATACAACCTTTCCACACTACTTCAATGCATTCACAAAAGGGGGCATATCCTTCACGACATTCAGCTTCCTGGGCTCTGGATAAAAAATGGTAGTAATGGAACTGTTAACGTAAGATAAACACTCTCCACAGCACAAGTCTCTCAGGAATGACAGCTGCTAAATACGAAATACTCACCTAGATGATATTTTGGATATATTGCAGTAACTAGCAAAAAGAAACTCACAAAAGTTCAGCCTAAGAAATGCTCTCAGATCAAGATACCTTGAACTGATTCACTTCTTTTTAAGTAACAGGATAGACAAAATTGGAGTTAAACATGTCGTTTGGTTATTCTTATTTTGTAAAAATATGTAAAAGCATAAATTGAGGTTAAGGGCCTATTTGCTTTCTTTGTCTTTTACAGAGTCCCTACCACACCTTTGAAAGTGATGAAATAATGGAAAACTAGATTAGATAATAGGAGTATCTTAAATCACTATATGATGTGGCATAGATTAAAAAAAATCCTCTGTTTTTGGAAAGCACAGGAAAGATTGCACTATAATGACACTATTTTGTTTATACCTAAAATTTATATGTGCTATATAAAGATAGAAATATGGACTTGTGAAGATCATCGTTAAAGCCTTCAACTTAAAAGCAAAAGACACTATAACATAGAGTGACTCACCACTATTGTTTCAAAAACTACATGGACTAAACCTAATGCTTATTTTCTAATCACAGAAAAGTGATACCTAGGTTAGCTGCATTAGTTCAGTTTCCTTGGTAAAAGGATCAATTTTTCTGAATCTAAAGGAAAGCTAAAACAGAATTTTACCTATGATCCAATTAAGGACAAAAAGGGAAAATATCTATCTCTCACAGTTTCTGTTCTGGCACTTACAGTGCAAGAGAAAAATGAATGAAGAGGGTGATAAGTGTCATTATACATCGACCTGTTCAATAACATGGTTAGCTGGCACTGCAGCTCTTTACCTGTTTAGAGCTTCACTGAAGTATTAGGAAGGAGTATAATGACCAGCCAATCTAACTGCAGAGGAGTGAAAAGGCCAAGGTAGTTTCCTGTTATGACATTCTGATTTGCTTGACATGACAATGTCAGGAATGGTATTTTTAATGATTCCTGTACTGGACAAAGACAGTGAAGAGAGCAGAAGATGACACTTGACTCCTCTTTTGAGCTGGAAAAGTCCGTAACAAGCACAGGTTAGAGTGTAACCATTCATCTTGCAATTTTAGAACTGTAATCTACTGATCCTCCCTGCTTGTCACATCCAATTTGTTCCATGGCATGCTTTACACCAGACCACATTTCTATTCAGTGGCAGCTGGAACTTTGCTGGGATTATAGTTAAATTTCCTTTCTAATGGCTGAGCTAGAAGGGTGCTGTGGTATCATCAATCTGGAGGTTGCACAAATACCTGAGAGGAGAAGGGAAAATTGGTTGATAAAACAATTACATATTTTTTTCATTTTCAAGTTCTTTTTCTGGAGCATTCAGACTAACATGAGACTATGATTTGGAATTAGAAAAAGAAGTAAGAACAAAAAAATAATAGAGATACAATTAAGCAATACTACCCAGAGCTATTTTATTTCAGTAGCAGGTGTAGGAAGAATATGTGTAGTATAAAGATGTGGTCAGAAAAGCTTTGTCAGAATGTCAGTCAGTACAAAACTCTTCTGCTGAAATCATAACACTTTGCAGGAGTCATATCTACTTACCAAGGAAAAATAAAAAACAAAAGCCAGCAATGTTGATAAAACTGAAATAAATTTTCAAATCAAAATATGGCATTTCAAACTTGATTTGTTTTTTGTAGTTTTACTGTGTAACCAGAATAAATTAAAGAGCAAAAGCAGATAAACCAGGAAAAAAAATGCTTTAACAAAAAATTACTTTCTCCCTTTTCCTTCACCCTGAATTGTTTCACTCTTGTTTGAAATTAAGTTGGATTTTGTAAGTGTGTTTATCAGTAGAATGACTCAGGAAGCAATTGGGAGAGCTGTAGGAGAAAGTATGTAAGTAAGGGACAATCTGGATCATGCTTAGAGAGGCATAAATAACAAAATTAACCAGAGAAATCACCAGGGATTTGAATAAAGCTCTCACCAGTTTTTCCAGTTCATGGTCAAGATTCAGGCAGTGGTAGATGCCCCCTAGAAAAAACAAACATGTGGCCTTGGAAGAGGAATCATCTCTTCAACTGTACAGTAAATCTTAATTGTTGGTGGTGCATCATAAAAAGGAAGAAGTGTTTTTGTACCCTGCAACAGGCTTCATAACCTGTTGAGGAGAGCTTGAAAGTTCATCCATGGAGAACAACAACAAAAGGATAAAGCAAGTTGTATAATGGCCAAAAATCAGCAGGAGAGAGCATGTGTCTCCTTATGTGTTTAAGTAAAGGCTATTTAGAGAAGATGCTTGATGACATATGTTGTTCTACTTATTGATTCACTCTGAGAAAGATTGGCTTACGGAAGTAATAAACAGTCATTTAAAAGGTTTTAGATGAGGTTGGAAGCATTGCTGCAATGCAACATTAATAACTTGTTTTCTTTCGTGTGATTCCGAAGCAGGATAAACACGTATTAAAAAATAAGTCTGTTATCTTCTCTTTTTAATCCAACAATAACTCAGGCCACCATGTACCCTGTGTGCACAGGAATCGAACTACCTTTCTGCACAGGAGTGTGTCAGGCAGTCATATTTGAATAATGGAGTTTTGCAGACTCCATTGTCTACTGCCTAACTCAAAGTGGGTGGGTGGGAGCACTGATGGGAAAAGACAGAAATAACTATTTGCTGTTTGCTTTGCTGAAGTCCCAATATGGGATTGTACAGTCTACAATCCTGCAAGTCCTGCATAGTCCTGCATAGTCATCTGGTCTCTCATCATGTTACCTTGGATACTCTTAAGCTGAGATGCCTTTTCATATATGCAGTGCCAGGCTGGGAAGCGCAGAAGCCACCACTGCTCACCTTCAGTGTAAGGCAAACA